AGGCGGGTGCGAGTCTCCCGCGGGGGTCAGCCCGACCCGGGCAGGAGGGTTTGGGCAGGGTGAGGTCTCGCCCCGAGGAGGGCTGAGGGGTTTTGGAGAGGTGAGGGGCCGAGGGCGGGCACGGGACCCCTGCGAACCAGCCCCGCGGGCTCTGCCTTGTGCCCTTTCTGCACTCCCCGGTTATTCTGCTGCCCATTGCTTTCGTTTCACCTGCAGGGAACACAGGTTATCTTTTTCTCATTTCCAGTAAATCCCAGTTATTTTTGCTATTACCACATAAGCAATTCTCACTGCTTTTTTTTTTTTTTTTTTTTTTTTGTGGAGGGGGAGGAAGTGGGAGGTGAGGAGGAAGGAAATGGAAATATCTTGTTCTAGTTCTGTTACAGCCGTTTATTCACTATTAGCTGTGTTGAACCTAAGTAAACAGGAACTTGGAGGTACTGGTCAGTCACCAGCTCTTCATCTGTGCCTTCACATCAGCTTGAGGCTTTGCTTCTGGGAGCTTGTTTCTTGTCAGTTTGTCCTTGTATGGAGGGGCCTGGATACCAGAAGTGGGATGTTCCCAAAGGCCTCCCTCCACCCTGTCAATTCCTAAAGCATGGGCTATCTGCTTTTCTCCTTTGGTCCTCTGGGGCTTACAAGTTATAGAGCCCCTTACAGCTCTTCATCTGCAAGATTTTGATACAGAATCCTCCCCAACCCCAGGTGTTTTGTAGCAAAACCCTTCTATGAGAGCACCTGTGAAATGAATGGTGTGGCTTTGCAAGGTGAAAGCAGGAGAGCCCTGGGGGTGTTCCTAAGGCTTCGTGTTGCTCCAGTTGCCTCATTGCCCCATGTGAGGAGAGGACTGAGCTGGGGCCCGTGGAGCTGTCACCGAGCTGCCATCTCTCCTGTCACACTTCTGCCTTGAACGGGCTGTTTCCCGGCAGTCGCCGGGCCAGCACAGCTCTTTTGCCGATTGCATTTTGTAGTTGGGGAGTTGAAACCACATTCAGAAGGGGGCTGTGGGCCTCAAGAATTATGGTCTGGCTGTTGTTGGCATAAGTTGCTGGAGAATGAAAAAGAGAAGCATGCTGTAACTGGGAGAGGCCATCCAGCTGGGTTATTTGTGTAGACTGTGGAAGACCCTTATCTTTTCTCAGCAGTCGTTGCAGCTCTTAAGAGCCTTGCAGATAAAGGCATCCAAAGGTTGAGAATCCTTCATCTTTGGGTTGTGGTGTTGTTCCCCCCACCCCTGGGAAGCCGCTGTGTGGGAGCTGCTGTGTGCTGTTGAGGTGCAGGTAGATTGGGAGTTTAATGTGTTTTGTAAGTTTATTTGTAGTATGAATCCCAGTATCATGGTGAATTAACCTCATTAATCAGTCTTTACTGGTGCTAACAACATCCCAACTTCCACTTATCTGGCAAATTAACAGTGTATTTTCTTGGTCAACCAAGATAAGACCACTGTGGGAAAGACATCCCCTAGCATGAGAGGCAGAAGCCCTTTCTGGCCATGTAGATAGACGCCTGCATTGCCCATGGAGGATGGGGTTGGGTAAGAAGGAAGAAACCAGCACAAACTGCACAATTTCACAGAAAACTCAAAAGCAAAGGGCCAGGTGGGGTATCCGTCACAGAGTGTTGTCTTGTAGTTCTTCAGTGAGTTTTCAGACTCCTGAGAGCTGTAGAGATGGGATGGATTAAGGGAACCTTGCTCTCCCCAAATGGTTAAGGACTTAATGTAGGACAGCTGCTAGGTGCTTGGGTGATGCAGTTAAATATAGCAGGCTGATTCTCCCTTGCTGCCAGTCAGAAGGGCTTGCCCCTGCTCCTACACTGTCGCAAGCCCCCACTGCCTGTAGCCATGTGAAAGACAGCCTGTTACCAGTGACTCTGTCCCGTCTGTAAGTCAGACTGCTTGATGTGCTCTGTGCAGAATCTGTAACCAAAAACCGCTCCATAATCTGTATCCTCTCAGGTTTGCCTGTTGTGTGGATGTTATGTTGGTGAGGTGATCACCTGTCTGTCTCTTACACAGCACTGTTCCACTGCCCCTTCAAAAAATCTTTCTCTTCTAGAGCTACACCTAAACTGTATGTACTGAACCCAGACACAGCATCTGGGTAGACCTCTGCATCTCATACCTTAGATGTGGGCTACGTCAGTTTCAGAAGGTTTTTTTTTTTTAATTTTAGTTACTGCTTCAGGATGTTAGGTGTAGTGAATTAACAGCAACTAGAAAGCACACATGGCAGAAATCATCACTGCAAAATTTTAAGGCAGAATGGAAGTGCTGCTCAGGTTTTCAGTGCATAATCTCCTGAGGCATAAAATAAATATCTTGCCTATAATGTGAGAGGAACTCCATGGGTTAATTACCTTTGGGTTTCAGAGTGAATTAAACAGCTGAGATGTTATAGGTTTATATTTTGCTAATTTCCAGTTCCTCAGCTGCCCTAATTTTTTTTTTAGTCTATATGCTCAGTTAAACATTTGTTCCCAAGACATTAAACAGCTGACTTTTTTTCACATACTTATAATATGATGTCACATAGTTCAGTGAATTTCTACATGATTCCAAGAAAGCTGGGATCAGGCTAACCTCACAACATCTGCTGTGCTCCAGGGTAGTCATGTATGGTTGAACAGTATGCATCCAATAGGGAAGGCATACTTTAACCGTTCATTGCCAGCTTTCGTGGTATAGATCTGCACTTTCTGTATACCATTTACAATGCAAAATATTTTCTTTCTGCCTCTATAGTTGCAGAGTAAAGAATGAATATGGCAGAGCATATGGCAATATCAGCCTGAAAATTTTAGCTTTTACTTCAGTTGCACTCTCCAATCCCCCCCTCACCCTGAGAATTACTTTACAATGTACAATATGACTTCTTTTAACACTTAAACCTGTACACCATTACTGGGTATTTCTTGGTGACTGGTGGGTTTGTTTTGGGTTTTTTGTTTGTTTTTGTTTTTTTTTTTTTTCTTCAGTATTCTACAGACTGAAACGTCTTTTTTTGGTTTGTTGTTGTTTTTTTTTTTTCTTTCTTTTTCCTTCCCTACAGATAAAGGGATATTTATTATCCAAAGTGAGGACTCCAACTTGTGTATTAAAGTGGACATGGCTGGCCTTGTTCTGGAAGACTGCAGTCAACTCTCAGAAGACATGTTATGGAAATGGGTATCCAATCGCCGTCTTTTCAACATAGGCAGAAGTACCTGTCTAGGACTGAACATCACTAGAATAGAACAGCCATTAAGTATGCTTGAATGTGATTCAACTCAATACTCATTGTGGTGGAATTGTGATGGAAAAGCATTAGTTGGCGTGTCAGAGTACAAATTAGCTATTGAAAACAGCAAACACATTGTGGCCAAAAAAAAATCTGCTCATCAGTGGAAACAGTACATGTCCTATGATGAAGACCTTTGTGAACCCCCATTTCAAGGTAAAAAAAAAAAATTGTCATAGAAATGCAGATGGGAGAAGTTACAAAAGTTCTTTTTGAAGCTAGGTCAGGTGCTTATGATCTCTTCCAGCCTCTACTGTGGTTTGGAAGTTTGGTTTTTTTCATGCAATGGTTGAAGTGAGCATCCCACACAATTGATTTTTTTTTTCCCTTACCTGTTATATGGACCCAAAAAAGCAGCAGTATCCTTGCAAACCAGGAAATTGTAATTTCAAATCCTCTATAAAAAGGGGAATTAAGGGCTTGCTGTTGCCTGACCTGCAACATTTCATTATCAGATAAGCCCAAAGAAAGAACAAAGGATTTGGAATTCTCATCACTGAAAATCAGTCTGTGATGGCAGCATGCATGAACTGCATGTTTGCGATGTTCAGTGCCTGGACTGTGAACATGCGAAACTTTGGAGCAGAGATCAGGCTTTTGATTAATCCTGCTGTACAGCTAGAGACGGCATAGGAATGTATGTCAAGATCCAGGTTTGCAGACCTGAACAGTTTTCTAGGTATAAGGACTAAAATAAACCCCTTGACTACCAACAGTAACAGATGGACTGTACCTTGACCCCTTCCATGGCGTTTCTGTAGGAAAGACCTAATGTTTGCACAGCATGTCTCAGGCTGGAGCTGTTGATTCTCCCCATTTGAACTGGGTGTTTGGGTTGCAGAGCTGGTCTCAGTGGTTTCCTCTGTAGGTGTAGCTGGGCTTGGCCTTTGTAAACTCCAAAGTTGTTCCTTTGGGAGCTGTGATAACTGGGAAAGCACTATAGCGTCCAACCTCTTCTTTAAAACCAACTGGAGTTTATACTTAAGACCAGATAGAAAATATTGAAACCCACAAAAAGCCTTACACATTTGCTATGTACACATAGCAAGATGAAAGTAGACCTGGTTTAGCCCTAGTACTGCAACATCTGGAAGAAGAGGATCCGCCTTAGGCAGGCACTTCTAGCCTGCTTTCAAGACCAAAGTCATTAACTGTGTTGGCAAAATCTCTTTCACCTCTGCTTTCTATTTTCCTCCTTCTACCTTAGCTTATGCACGTGCAAATACAAGCCAGCCTGTTAGTCCATCAGGTTGTAGGGGCATCCCTACCTTCAAAGAAAAAATGTATGAAACTGTGATGAGAGGTCTATAGCTGTCGAATTTGGTTTCTTGCCAGGACTGAGATAATCCTATACACCTCAGTAGCTAGCAGCATGGTAGTGGGCAGACAGAGAAGCAGTCCAGATTTTTTTTTTTACTCATGTTCTTTGTATCATACCAGAAGGCTTTAAAGGGGATTTACAACGTGTAGACTGCTGTTCTGTATGTGAACAGCCAGCCATTAACTCTGGAAACCTCTAGGAACTTGGCAGTATGTACTGATCCTGTAGCTGAAGGACTTTGATCTTTAGGCTATCAACATGGGATCTTTGACAAACAGTTTCATTTTAAGTGTGATTGTGGTTCTTTGACCTTTTGTAGAAGCTCTAAGGTTATGGAGATAGTGAGGTAAAGCTTTTGCAGCTTTCAGTTGCGCTGGATTCTCTCCATATTTTGTTACTCAAAGTACAATAGGAAAATATTTTAACTATTTTATAAGGCAATAATTGATTGGGACAACAGATGTATGTAAGTAACATCAGTTCTTTAGTTAGATTATTATTCCCCATGGTATCAAAACTTATTTTTTAAAGTGTATTTAATATTCCTTTGTCCTTTACATTTCCTTTCCTATAGACTAACAAAGAGAATGGAAAAAACATTAGAAATCCACTTTATAAAGAGTGGGAGGAGCAGGGGCAATAGTGCGAGATTGCTCATCTGTCATAGACTAACAAATAAAAAATAAGTAGAGTGTGCATCTGAGTGTGTACTGATTCTTCTAACTATTGTTCTATGTAGTTCTGAAATGTAAGTGCATATTTTATATGTTAATTGTTCAGGTTTTGTTGGGGTTTTTTTTCAGCTGTACTAAGTTACAAGAATTTTTCATGGTCAACAAATTTTATAAACTATTATATCCAAATTCTGTTCACTGAAGTTATGCTACTCATAATGCTGTGTTATCAATTCTAAATTAAAATTAGAAAATAACTTAGACATTTTATTTTTATCATGCTGCTAAAAATGGGAACAGTGAAATATGGAGATGAAGAAATTTCTGTGGTCTGCATTCTTTTAATCTCTGCATTTTGTTTATTCCAGAAACGTATACCTTGCTGGGAAATTCTTTTGGTTTCCCATGCGTTTTTCCATTTAAATATAATAACAAGTGGTATTATGAGTGTACCAGAGATGGAAAGGAATTTGACTGGTGTGCCACAACAACTCACTATGAACAAGATGAAAAATGGGGGTTTTGCCCAAATGCTGGTAAGATGAAGCTTGTTTTCTCTCTCCCCCTGCCTCCCCGAGTATTTTTGCTCTTTATTAGCGGTTCTAGGACACACTGCTTTGGATTACTTCCCTTCTGTTAGAGGAGAATGTATCTTTAAAAAATGCAAAAGAAGACTTTACCAAATTTTATCGTATTTTATCATATTTGGCCTTTGGCCTCATCCCAAAAGCAGAACTACAGGGAGTGAGCAAAAGGGTGTTATTCTGTGCAGCCCATTAACATTACCCTGCAGCTAAACCTCTCTCTCCTCTGTCGCAGTGATGTGCAGGGAACCTCTCTGAAACACGTAAAGTAAGGTTTGCTCCTGCAAAGTCACGTTCTGCTTTTGACTGCATTACATCTTCCACATTCCTTTTCTTCTCCGCACTACTTGGATGCGTCTTAGGCCTAAAACACTTGGAAGCAATAGCTGTAAAAATACTTACTGTCAGAAAGACTTTGGATGTATAATATTCATGAATGTTCCAGCTTCCTGCATAAATAAGCAAAGTAGTATCTTCTGTCAAAAGAAGTAGTTTGGAAAAGTCCTCCCTGCTCAAGCTACATTTCAGATCTGTGTTTCAAAGATTCTTAAAAACAGCAGTAAATGTGTTGTTGTAACAGGGTTTTCTGTGCAACTGTTATAATAGGTGGTGTTTTCAGCCTTGCTTATGCTTTGTGACTATAGTGAGTTTATTCTCTTGAGTCCAAGATAGAAGGAGATGCAGTGACTGCTCCTCCACAAGTTGGATGAGGTGTTCATAATTTGACTATATCAACATTCAGTTTTAGGAACAAATGATCAGCTGGTATAAATTAAAATGTAGCTCTCTTGGCTTCATGAGAGCTGTGAAAATCACCACCAGCTGCAGGTCAGCTCCCAAGTAATTTATCAACTGTATGAAATATGGAGCAACATTTTATTCCGTTAGCGCCCTGTTTCCATATGTTCTTTAACAAAGGACCGTGAAAGGAGTTCACAATCATGCTTCCATTGGAATGCTTCTGCCATTAATTAGTTGAAGTGTTCAAGGTGTTATATTTCTGATTAGTGTGTAGTCCTTGGGCTGTTGGTGACGAGTCTGTTTTTGAGCAGAGAGCGGCTGTGACGTTTTTTGGAAGAAGAACCCCAACACGCACCTTTGCTACCAGTTCAGCCTCACGTCTGTGCTGACCTGGCGTGAGGCACGGGCCGCCTGCCAGCTGCAAGGAGGTGACCTGCTGAGTGTCACCGACCCTGAGGAGCAGAACTACATCAGTAACATAAGCAGTGAGTAGACATTTCTCTGGGGACCGTGTAGGAAATCTGTAGCTAGGTTTCCTCCTTACCTGTGAAAAAGGGATAAGCTTTGGGGCTTAATACTCTGTGTGTTGTCTCTCTTGTTGCTGCTTGTGAGGCTTCATCACATAACACACCTCAGTAGAGCTGTTTGAAAAAGCAAGGGTGAAGGTAAGTTGCAACTTGAATAAACCGAGTGCAGAAGTGGTGGTATGTGTTATGTGAGGGTGTAATTATCTTAATTCTCCGTCCCCACAGAGACTCCCATTCATTCTTGGAACTGTGGTTATGCAGTGTGTTTGTTTTCTTTGGAGGATTGTACACATATTTACCATCTCAGCAGTGTACCCTGCTGTCCCTTTCTCCTGTTAAGTTTTCTTTGCAAGCTGGACTCCACCAAATGTAAACGACTAGGACATTTCTGCAGGCTTGAAGTAAATGCCCTGTATGGGGAAAAATTGTCAACTCTGCTTTCATAAATGGATGGTATTCCTTCTCTGATAAGCCTTTTGCTTTCCCCATTGCAGCAAGAGTCTCAGATAAGTTTTGCAGAGCCTTCTGACAGCATGGCTTTCATGAGTATTTTAGTGTGCATGGAGAGGACCAAGTGGAGGAATGGGTGGGAGAGCTGTGATGTGAAAGGCTGCCTCGGGTTTCTTGCCCACTGCTTCCCATTATTGCTGATTTTCAATTGCAGGATATAAGCTAACGGGAAGTTTTTAAAATTATTTCATTAGCTTTTTGGTATGCCTGCAGGCTGTAAAGGGGCTGAAAGTTGTTTGGTTATAGAAAGCTGGAAGAGGCTAGCATTTATGTAGCTGTTAGTTCTAACTTCTAAGGTCAGCAACAGCTTCTGCAGGAAGGACTTGCAGGATGAGTAGCTCTTGAGGGATGCAGACTTCTGAGTTCATGCCTTTTAATCTGTGTTGATTAACAAAATAAAGGACAGCCTGAGCTTTCTGAAGACTGATCTGAAGTTTCGTTTTATTGCTATTGTAGTGAGTCAGGACAGCAGTTCTATACCTGTAGATAGTTTAACGCATGGGGAGAATGTGAAATACTATTTTGTTTATTTTTTCTGTTTCAGGGCAGTTAAACGCCACAGACATGATGCTATGGACGGGCCTGAATCGCCTGGGGGAAGATGCTGGCTGGCAGTGGTCAGATGGAGCACCACTGGTGTTCGTGAACTGGAGAGCAAGTACTTGATATTCCTCTTGGATATGTTATAGCAGTGCAATTATGTGCTCTCTGTAATGCAGCTTAGATACAAGAGTGCTGTTCCTACAGCTGCATTTGAAAAGCGAATCAAGTGAACCAGTACACCTCTTTTTTTGCAGAAATATTTATTCATATTCATGAACTAAAAGCCCGCTCTAGGGCTGTAGCATCAGTTGAGATGGATCTGTTCAAAGTGTTAATGATCTAGCCCTTCTGTCATTTACTTTCAAAGGTGTTTTTAAGATTGCAGTTGTATATTTAAAAGCCATGTTCTGGCTAGTTTCATGGAGGAAAGGAGTTTTAATTTGTTTATATTGCCCATAGTGTAATTAACATTAGCACATTAACATGAGCTTTGGGACTTGGTTTGCTCCATTTTGAGGTCTGTCCACCAGCACCTATAACAGACACTAGAGCTTATTTCAGCCTCTCATCTGATAGTAGCAGCCAAGGAGGGATTGCAGCACCCATGTAAATCATGGTCAATGTTCAGCTGTCCATAGTATTGGTGTAATATTACTAGAAGTTTGAGTGTGCAGGGATGTTGATACATTCATTCAGTAAGATGCAGAGAGCCTTACAACACCCTTTACAAGTAAGAACTATTTTTTTGTAATTGTGTGCTTCTCAAAAATGTGTTTGCAGATGTCTCTGATAACCGTTTTAGAGAAAATCATTGTGCAGTGATTAATTCAAAATTGAAGTACGGCTGGCAAAGTTATTTATGTGAATCTGGATTGCCTTTTGTATGCAAAAAATATTTAAATAAGACAGAACATGAAACATTGGGTAAGTTTCTCACTGTTACTGTATCCTGTTTGTGGGTATGGAAGGAGAACAAGAGGAAGTTTTCTAGGTAAAGCTGAAAACAGTTTACCTTAACTGGAGTAGTAATACTTTCTTCTGTTTAAATGCAGTCCTGGAAAACATGTTGAGAGCCTTAAGGCTAACAAATAATGTGAATATACATAGGATTTAATTGGTTCCTTACATGATCAGAGGCTTACACAATGCTTGTTCTCTTTATATTACAATAGAGTCACACTGTGGAGTTTAAAAATAGGTTTTCAGCTTCAAATGGGATTAACCAGTGGCCCACAGAGGAAAGTTGTATAAATGCAGCTCAAAATTTGCAGTTATTTTTATGGCATGCTGTACTTTTGATATGCAAAAAAACCATTGTACATATATTTTAAAATGTGTTTATGTAAGTATAAAGGTATGAGTATAGCATATATAGTACATAGAATGTCTGACTCCCATTCTGTGGGAAAGTTAAATACAGAACTGAGTTTATTAGAACATTAATTTTTGTTTTGATAAGAACAAGTTATATAGGTTCAACTTCTTCCTGATAACTTAAAAGAAAGTTTGCCTACTTGTGTCAGATATGAGAAGGGACTTAGCTAAACACTTTGTAGGAAATGCATCTGAAAAAGCTTTAGCTGGATTTGAATCAGGTTCAGAAGTAATAAGGGAGATATAACATGTTTTAAACCAAATAACAGATCCATTAGTGTGTTTGCACTACTCCAGCAGCCCAAATGTTTGAGTCATAAAATAAAGTGGTAGAAATTCCAGTTTGCTGGGTACGTGATGTTCCCTAAAGCATGTGTTTTGGCCTCCTTAAGTAACATTGGACAACTCTGTTTTCAGGATTTGAACATTACAAAAAAAAGCCCTGAATGTGTTATGAGCATAGCATAACCTTGGCAATTCTGTCTAATATACATGAACTTTGTATGCTTAATTAAAAGATACATGGAAGTATTATGCCACTCGTTGTGATGCTGGCTGGTACCCACACAATCGCAACTGCTACAGGCTTCATAAAGAGGAGAAGAGCTGGAACGATGCTTTTATCTCATGCCAAAGTGACAATAGCGGGCTCATTAGTATATCATCCATGGCAGATGCAGAGTTGCTCCTTAACTTGCTTGAAAGTGGTGAGTCTTGGGACTTATTTTAAAGTGTGCAGTCTTTCTTGAAGTGCTTTGTGATGCTCTTTTGTGCTCTCTTAACAATGTTAGCCACTAAAGCACTATATCGCGTGGCTTGTCCAGATGATGTTTACAGAAAAGAAAGAATGATGCATGTTCCTACTAGGAGTCTTACAGCCTTCTCCAGTAATCATACTTAAAATAAAGAAATGAGTCAACAAAGAGTAAGCACAGTGAGGACACAGTAAACACACTGGCTTTTGTCCTTTCCTGTTCTTCCCTGGTTCCTTGCAAACTGTTGCAAAATATTCAATGATTGTTCTTATGCAAGAGTTATGCTTAGAAGCAACAACAATTCAGAGTATCTTTTGCTTTCAAAAGATTTGCCTTGTCCACACTGCAAAATTGCTGCTGCTAGTCTGTTGGCAGAGTCCCCTTTGATGGCAGCAGGGTGTATCAAAGGAGTTCTGCTAGTCCACATTGTCCTAAGACGTAGCATAATTACACAAGGAACTTAATGAACAAAAGCTCTTTGGTGCAGCAATGCCAAGACTTTTGTTGTCATAACAGCCACAAAGAAAGGTGAATATTTTGTGCCTCCAGCTGACATCAGTGTGCTGGCAGAGCTGTAGTCTGGCCATGAGTTTAAGCTTCCCAGAGCTGGGGCACAGTGACATGTTTTATCAACTCTCTGTCCCCTCAGCTGTGGTTGCAGCATAGTGCATTACACTGGTTTACTCATCATCTCTCATTATTGTCACTCCTGCCACCCATCTTCCTTGCTGTCCTGTCTGTCTTTCTCCTAGGAGATAAACCCCTGTATCATCTTCCTCACCTCTGTTAACACCCTCCATAGAGACCAAATACCATTTTTTTCCAGAGATGCTGTAATGGATAGATGTGATTCTATTCAGATTTGAAGTCTGCTGCTTCTGTTTCACACCTGCTTCAGCCCTCCCTTCAGGAGAAGGGCTTATGTGCCTGAAAGCCTGTCTACTTTTTCTGGATGTATTAGCTGGTCAAGTAAGACATTACATCAAACCACAAGCCTTGTATTTCCTATGTTTGCCAGCCACTGTGGCTACAACGGTACTGTCTCTGGAACTTGTCAGCATCACTCAGAGAAACCTAAATTTGAGTGAGCCATGGAAGATTGTAAAAATAAATCTTTTTCTTCCATGTCAGGCTTTCTGACCTGTGCACTTAAAAAAAAAAAAAAAAAAAAAAAAAAAGCATATACTCTTGATTTCTATTTTTCAGGATTTCAAAGCATATGTTGATCCATTTTTGAAATAATTAGTCTCCTTGCGCAGTAGAACATTACCTCATCAATAGGGTTTCATAAAGTTCATACAGCCTTTTTTTTTCTGAAAAAAAGTAATTCTTATGAAAATCCCACAAATAATTTTTAATAGTGGTGCTGATGTTACAGGAACAACAAGCATTACTTCTTCACCATTAAAATCTGATCTAATTCTTTTACAGAAAATGTAACTGAAACATGGATCGGGTTATACAGTAATAACACCCCAGTTGTTTTTGAGTGGTCAGATGGCACTCCAGTAAAATTCTCTAACTGGCATAGCCAAGAACCTAACACCTTTCAAACAACAGGACAGCTCTGTGTTTCAGCACAAGGACCTGTAAGTTTCCTTTTCTTTTTGGAAGGATTAGACAGACACTTGTGTTTTCAGCTCATAATAATTTATTTTCTCGGCGTGACCTGTAGACTTTGTCTTTTGATTCCTAATATATTAATGTTGTGATAAATGCAATGTAGCCTTTAGAAACAAATACATTTTGCAGTGCTGATGCACAGAAAATTAATCATAGATTTTGAGCTTATGGTCAATAAAAAAATGTTACATACATAAAGCTTGCTAAATGGAAGAAAACATATATGAGTAGGTATTTTGATAAAGTTATTTAAAATCCAAGTAGTGTATATTATAATTTCTGATACGTCAGTTCTGGTCTTGAAAGCTTCAAATTAATGTTCTGAAAAACTGGCAGCTGTGCCTATTTTATCTGCTGTCAATATTTATAAATTTTACGTAGCACCTTTCAAAAACAGTAGTATAGACCTACATAAAATTATAGAAGTTGACAGCAGTAAGATTGACCCTAAATCACTCACATGTTGTAAAACTGGGAGTAATGTTCAAATAACACTGTGTCCTGTGAAATCACAATTCATGGCACTGACAATTTTTTCTTAATTTGGTCATAAATTTACTTTACTTTTACAATTAACAGTACTTAAATTCACTAATACATGTCTTACATAAGTGCCACTGTAATTTACTTTTTTTTTTTTTAGTAAAGTATGTTTTGTCGAAATGTGAAAACTCTATCAAAAAGTTTGTTGTCTCTCCAGTAGTGGGTACACATTGCAATCTTTAACTCATGGGAAAGCCAAGACAATTACAGTGACCTGAAAAAGTGGGTTCCCATTGGAAGCAGAAAATAGGACTTTGGTAAAATCATGAGGTTTAGATACACAAAATCATATTTTACTCAGTTTGCAAGTGTAAACAGACAAATGAAAATGTAAGGTACAAAGGAAAAGGAGGTTCAAGATAGAATTCTTTAAGCATTATTTTTTTGGTATATGTGCAGTATGTATAGATGTCTGAAAATTACACGAACTTTGTAATATGTTGAGTAAGGACTGTTCAAATATAAGGATTAATCTTACATAGAACTGTAATGGATAGGGAGAAAGGTCAATACATGATTTTGAGAAGTGCTCTGGCATGGCCATAGTGTTAGTTAATTAAAATGCATTACATTCCAAAGAACTATTCAGAGAAAAGCCCTTTAGTATGATTGATTTGAAAAGTCCTGCTGACAAGTATTGGTAGGAATAAATGGTCCATCTGAGGAAAAATAAATCAATAGAGTGAGAAAAATAACTTGTTTTTACTGAAAAGTTAAAATAGGAGGAGGGAGTGTAATCTAATGTGTGTGTATAGGTATGCATGAGAATATGAGTATGCACAGAATATGCTTCATTTTTTCCCTTAGGAGGGACATTGGAATGTTAAAAAATGTGAAGACAGATCTTTCTACATTTGTAAAAAAGCAGGGGAATTTAATAATGTATCTCCTGAGCTGGAATCAAGTTGTCCAGAGGTAAGGGGTTTTGTGGGTTTTGTTTGTTTTAGAGCTGTACTAATAAAGCAGAATTATATAGGAAACCTATATAATACCTATAGGTGTTATATACCTGTTTGTACCTCTGAAGCTATGAAACATATGGATATGAATAGATATGTAATTCTAGGTTTTCATATTAAGGACATGCATGTTTTGCTAGGAAAAAATATCATTGTTTGCCTTAAAAGTATGTAAACTAAATTTTAATGTAAGATTAAAAGCTTTCCCAAGATGCCTTTCATGGTTCGTTGCGTTGTCAGCAGTTGTGACCCAAGTTCCCATTTCTTTCTAGATCAAAAGTGAAAACCCTTTTGTCCACCATCTGTGCAAATAATGGCTGTTATATGATGCCTCATCCCACACATGGTTTTCATACATTGAAATGGAATGTCAGGGTGAAAAACAATCAGTTTCATTGACACAGGGAGTGAACTCTTCCACTCGTATATTAGCATTCCTTTTCCTTTCAAGCACAAATGGAAGGAGCACAGCTCTCTAAATAGGACATTGCAAGAGGTTTTCAGGCTTTTAGGCTCTGCATTCTGGTAGTAAAAGGTAATGTGTTAAAGTATTCTTTTACTTGCCATCAGTTCGTTTTCACAGTGTGAAAAGAGCAAACTTCTAGGCTTTGTGTTGTTAAAATTTTATACAAAACTCTGGAGGAGTTTAGTGAACTTTTTTAATCAACAAAAGTCTGTAGCTTGCTTTTTCTTTTAGCTCATTGTCTTCATTTTTAAATTTTTTTGGCCTTTTTCTTGAAAAGTCAAGAAACAGGACCAGTTCAGTTGAATTACGAGAAAGCTGAAGCTGCACTGTTTGGGGTCGGATGCAGTCTTTCCCCAGACGTACAGTGGTCAGATCCAGTGTTCTGGTCATACCATTATGGAGGCAGAAGTAATTTCTTGGTTCCAGCTTAAAATTTCCAAAAGCATAAGGTAACTTCATTTGTTTCATTTGGACCAATGTATTTCATCACTGAAGAATTCTGTGTGTTATTGGTGTAAGAAAGGTTTGTCACAGTCCTGATCGTGTGAAAAATGTGCAGAGCATCAAGACTTGCAGTGGTAGTCAGGAACTTGTCAGCACTTCAACTTCTGGTACCTCACAGGACTGAGACTCGAGATTCAGTCACTGGTTGTAGGTAGTTTGGTCTGCTCTGGCAAACTCCCTACTCAGGATAAATTTCTGCTTGTTAATGCTTCACACCCCGTGAAAACATATGCAGAACCCAGTTACAGTCCCTTGCTTTCAACAGATCTTTTTCTTTCTAATGTGAAACCAGTTATATTTATTTAATCAAAGGAAGTCAGTACTAAGCTTAGTCAGAACTACATTTGATTTCAGACATTTTGGCTTGACAACTTACTTTCTTTTAACATTCTATATATATGTTGTTGCTAGTTACTGGCCTAATTTTCCGGGGCTAAGTCTTTATTTCATCCAGATTTACTTTTTTTTCCCCATTTTTCTGTTGCTGACCTACCTTACGTGTACGGAATATCTGTTGGCATTTCTCATTGATCTTTTGCTTCGTTAACCTCGTACTGTCATTCATGTGGGATTGCTGGTAGATTCTCAGGGAGCTTTGGCCTCGGGCATAGTTGTTTGCTTTTATAAAGCTTTAGAGTCTTATGTGCTATTACTGAGCTTTCAACTCATGTTGATTTTATGACTTGTGCATCAGATGAACTAGCCTTTAGCATTTTCTGTGGTTCTGCTGTTTGCAGTTTTTGCAATATGTCCATATAAATTTTCTGCAGAAACCTGAGCTCTTTTTGCTATGCTTCTGTCATCCTAAGACATAAAAAGTGTTAAGCACTTTCTCCTCTTAGCAGGTCAACTATTCCTTTTTCCTATTCAGCAGACTATTATTGAGAATAAATATTTTATTGCAAAGGTCAGATCCTCTAGGCAGTTTTTGCCAACACTGAAATAACAGTTTTAAACAGTTTCTTTAAACCAGCTTTTAAAACAGGTTAGGGAGGTGGTAGCTGCTCGATAATCAAGTTGGAGGTTTCTGTGTGCAGAAGTGACTGTATTTATATTGGTGCCTTTCTCTGGTCGTCTACAGTTTAATTAGTGCATCAAAAGATAACAGTATAGTACTAAATCGAGCATTTGTCTTTATGGCTGTTGTAACAGGAGAGAACTGTACTTTAAAGAAGATAATTACTATTAAAGCTGCAAAACCTCATGAAGAGCAGAAGGGCAGCTGCTCAGAACGCGGGTCCATTCAGCCTTGTGTTCTGCCTTCCACAAGTGATGTCTGGGGATGAGCAGAACAGGGCAAATGCAGATAATGCTTCCCCTAATTTTCCCTTCACCTCTAACCATTCAGGGGATTTCCTGAGCCTTTTAAGATTTGTGTATCTTAACAGCCTGTGTTGGGTGTCCCCTCCAAGTGCTTGTCTGGTTTCCCCTTGAACTCATGTGAGCTCTTTACATTCACAACAGTAGTTAGTGAGACCTATAAATCTACCACCCTTTGAGTGAAAAAATGCCACCTTCTTTCCAGGATGAACCTACCTTCTGCTATCTTAGCTTCATTTCTGTTCTCCAGCGTCTTGTACTGAAGTAGTCACCTGCCTTCGTGGCACTCACAATGCTCTATACCTGTGTCAGACCCTCCCTAAGGCATCCCTCTTCCAGGCTGAAGAGTCCCAGCCTGCTCCGTTACTGCTTATGTGGAAGCAGCCCCATACATTTCGTCATCCTTCACGGCGTTCTTTTCTAATAGCCTTTTCTGAGGTTGGGGGTCAGAACTCAAAAAAATGATAAAAAGTGAATTTAAAATGATACAGTCACTTACTCTGTTCTTTCTTTCCTCACAGTTCTCAAGGTTTGATTTGACTTTTTGACTAAGCTGATGTTTCATGGCACTCGGCCATCATAACCCCCAAATCTCATTCCTGCACAGTGGGAGTGAGATAGCTGTCCCTCACTTCACACATGAAATGATTGCGGGGTGCAGGGGAGATCCCCATGTGCGTCACTTCATAGTTATCTGTACAGAATACTGGCTGCCATTTTATTCAACAACTGCTCAGCCTTTTAAGTTTGAACTTTCTCGATCTGTGCTTGCCCGAAATGCAAACGTACTGGCCTCCAGTTACTCCACAATTTAGTGATTTTTTTTAAAAAAAAAAAGATTAGCATCAAATTACTTTCCTCCAGTCTTTAGGCACCAACAAAGCTTTAAGAGGAAGGCTATGCAGCACCATTTGCTCCAGTTTTAATTTCCAAGAGGTTAGGATGATTGTGTTTGCTTCATTCAGACCAGTCCATTGTCACTAAAGAATTGAAGGAAACTAGACATTTGCTGTTTCTTACCTGCATCCCCATACAGGGTTTCTCAGTCAAGATTTAGCCCTCTTCCACCCCGAATCCCACGAGTTTAAGTGCGCATCAAAGTGACTGCAGGGTTGCTGTGTCCTGTGGGGACTGCTGAGAGCCCATGGGGTCCCGGGTGCTGCAGAGCCCTTGGCACCTGCCAGCACGTTTTTCCCGTGGGTCGTCCCAGCTCATTGGTACGGAGATAAGGAAGAGCCTCAACCTAGTTGTTTATTTCTGTTTGCAAAGCCAATGTCTGAGCCTGAATTGTGTCATTCAGGTGAAACCACAGAAACAGATACTGCATTTCGTTTTGCTTCTGGGCTTTTGTGCCCTCCGAAGGGCTGTGCCAAGCTGTCTTCCAAGCACTGAAGGGGGATGATGGTAAAAGGCATCAGAGCTGTCAGCTATTCAGACAGCAAATGCACTCTGAAGCAGAAGGTGAAATTTGCCTCCACAGATTCAGCAGGGCTGAAGGATGCGCCTAATGTTTGATTGCTGTCCTGAACAGGTCTGCAGCATCTTGTGCATTTTATTGTACCTGAGGATGGGTAGCAGAAAAAGAACTTACCCGTTTTCCCTTTTTTCTCCTTTTGCTGTTACCATCACCATCAGGCGGTGTTTGGTGGTGGCAGTCGGGGTGCTGTGCCTGCTCCCTGTTTTGCTGCTTTGTCAGCTCCCCTGCAAGCAGCGCCTCCCTCACGGCGAGACCAGCCTGTTCTCCTGTGCGTGGCTTCAAGATAGGTTGGACAGAGATGGTTTATTATCTCTTTATTCTCTTGATTATTTAAAACACTCAAGCAGAAGACCAGGCAGGTACGCTGCATGAACTCACACAGGCAGAACTCGTGCCAGTCCTGATAGCATCTTCTGGACACAGAGAGATTAATAATAAGAAATATAAGATTAATAATAAAAAAAATGAGGCAGGCTGACCACTGACTCACTATTCTGGCTCATCTGATAAACCATGAAATTGTACGTTATTAGAGTAGGATGATTGTTAATTTAATTTATTTTTTTTTATTTGGAAGTTGTACTTGAAAATGAGAAAGGGAGCTGAGATAAGGTAAATAACTAGAGTGCATTGCTGTACAAAAGGTCGGCAATTTCTGGAATAAATATTTCTGTTTACAGTTGAAGACAAAGGGCAGCTATAATCCTTTTTTATAACAACTTAACTGAATCTGACATGGCAGTGTTTACCCTGCACTTCAGGTATTAGATACCAGCAATAAGTTACCACAGGTGGAAACCAACAAGTGCTGCTACATGCTTCGTGCAACGAGCTGGCAGTCTGAGGGGCCTGGCATACCTCCCCAAAACCAACCAGTAAAGCAATATTCAAAGTGTAAAATTGAAACACAAGTAGTATGTGGAGGGAGTGCCTTAACTGTTGCCCACTTTGTTGTGCCCATTAAAGATCTTACTGCATGTGTTTGTGTTAAGCCACCTTTGCACAATTTAAGGATTTAAACTTTAAACTTCTGTTAAATTTACCCATGTTTTCTGTGACCTTGAGGGTAACTTCTCTTGAACCACAGTAGAAAGGAGAAGGGCTATAGGGATGTCAGTGATGGTCAGACAGAATGTACAAAAGGGCATCAAGTTTTTAACAACTATATAATAATTAATAATTATAAAATAATGTTCATTTCTTTTAAGGGATGGGAAAGACATGGTGGATATTGTTACAAAATCGACAGTACCCCTCGAAGTTTTGAACATGCTTCCAGTG